TTGCTCCCGTGCCTCGCTCAGCCAGTGAGCGGGAACCGGTCTGTATGTGGGATCCGAACCCTCGGGCAGGAGCGCTGCCGTGCTTCCCAAGCGGCGCACTATCCAGTGCGCCACCGGGCCGGCCCACGAATGTGTTTTTTACCTTGATATTGCTCCCAAACCAATCTTCATTTTTAGCCTTCAATGTAACTGTAGAACTAAAATATATTGTTTCTCATCAAATTAATGTTATGCATCTATATGTGAGGAACAGTCATAAAGAGAATGCACCGTTGTTTGCACTCAAAAATCATATACCTTAAAAGCAGTTCCAATTTCTCCTTCAGAATGGATTTTTTGAAAATGGCTCAAGCAGGAAAAGCATAGGTCATGGAAAATACAGAGGTGATGGCCCTAACCAGGCTCACGCTCAAATCCAGGCTTTCTTGAAAGGCTCTGATCCAGATTCAATGAACAAATGTTTTTAAAGCATTTAAATGCAATCCTTGGCACACAACAAGTGGTCAATAAATAATAACTGCTATTATCTTCAACACTGGCTCAATGACTTTTTCTAAACTGGGGTAAGAAAGTCTGGGCTTCATAAATTCTTAATAATCACTCAGTTTCAAACAATATCTTCCCTAGGTTTTTGGAAGGTGAACCCCCCCCCCCTCCGCCCTGGCCCGCAGAGTAGTATGCTTTTGTTTTTTTGCTTTGTTTTGTTTTTGTATATTAGGTTGGCTTATGGAAAGCCTAAAAGCAAATACTGTACTATGTTAAATTTTCTAAAGAAAAAAATTCCAACACTGCATACTTATTAAAAGTGCTGCTCTCAGATTTAACAGAAGGATTACATTTTTTTTTTTTTTTTACATAATCCATTAACGGCCATTATAATTATATTCACGTTGCTGTCACTTGGTGGAGAGTTTAGGGAAAGGAAAACAGAAAAAGTTTGTGGCTGCTCCATTTATCCCCAGTGCATTACTGCCATCTGGTGGTGCCATTTACTATGCCTGCCCTTAGCCTTTTACCAAAGGCACATTTCATAAGACCTAAATATGCCTCTGTGATTAGAATCAGCGTGATTGGTGGCCTAGAGATCCCACTACCCTTCTTGCAACCACTAATTTTGATACCCTCGTTTCTTGCAAGAAAAGAGATTCAATGACCTTGAGTTATCCTGACACCCAAAGGCAGAGCTGGAACCCTCAGCATGAACTCCTGACTCTGCGAATATAAGATGCTAAAGCTATAAGTATCCTTAAGGATTGTCCCATTCCTAGTCTCCTCAAATGGGTTGAGGTTTTAGTAATATTAAATAATTTACTGCTGTTTTAGATTCGGTATGGTGTTCCAAATTTCTACATTTGTAGCTCTTTGTATTGAGAGTCTTTAAATACTATTTTTTAATTCCTCTTTTCCTTATATCCATTGTTTATTACCAATTTTCAAATTTCCCCTCATATAATTGAATAATTATTTTTATCCTATATGAGAAAAAAAAATTTAAACTATAAATAGGGCCATTAAATCACAATCCCTCTGGATTTCTACTTCCACACCCAAGGAATCTAACAGATTGTGCTTTTTAGAGGAAAGGTAACTTTTTTGCTTTTTTCCAAATAATCACTTAATCCAGGCTCCTGCCCAACTAGAGGTGAGAATATTCAACCAAAGTGAACGACTACAGAAATTAAACCCAGCCTACTGCCAGAGCAGTTTTTCTGTTTTCATTTTATGGACACTGTGACTCATGTACCTGATCAAATTTCCCTCTTACTTCAGACTGCTGGAAAAATTCAGGACAAAATTGTGGCCCTCTCTTCTTTAGGGAATGTACAGGCCTTCCTCATGTGCATGGACTTTCTTCAGTGCCTTAAACCTATTGAAATGGTACACAGTATATGGAGATGTATACAGTACATAGAGAATTGTATGTGTTTATAATACATGCATCTAAACATATATAAAAACCAAATACAAAAGACTTTATTTCAAAAGGAAAACTTAAAATTTA